ATGGCTAGAGCCAGTACTATCCCCACTACCCCTTCCCCTTCTGCCAAGAAGGACAAGAAGGACAAGAAGGGAGAGGTAGGTGATCCTTTGTGTTCACTACAAGCCTTACTGACCCTTGAACTGCACAGTCCACCAAGAAGCCTAAGGTTTCTAAGATGGCTCTCTCTGCTACTTGGTTTGCTGCTTGCAGCAAGGAGAATGTAGACTCAGGTCTCTTTTCCTACAACCAAAAGAGGGAGCTGTCCAAGAAGTTCTCTGAGCAGGAGGTGCTTGTAGCCTTCCCCACTCAGCCTGGAGCTTCCTTCCAGCCTCAGGATCTGGCTCAGCTAGATGCTTTGGTAGCCCAATATTTTAAAGGGCGCTTCCTTGCTAAGGAAGTTGGAATGGAGTTGGAGGGGGCATTCTACCTTCTTCCCCCTGGTAAGATCCCTGTTAACCCCAGGGAAGTCCACTTGGAGGAGAGGATTAGTATACCTTTCCATTGGGCTCATGTGTCTGCCCATGAAGTCTTCCCCCATCCTGAAAGGGAGGGGAAATTGGCTTCTACATGGTGGATACTGCCCTTGGGCTCTTCCCCTGACATAGAAGGGGTTGAAGGCCTATTGGATGCTTGTGGCTCCTTTGCTAACTACAGGGAGTTGATACAACTCAGGTATGTCTGCAGACACTTAGATTCTCTTTCATGCTTACTGATGCCTACCAATTCCAGGGAGGTGTCAGGAAAGCTCACTGAGAATTGGCTCCTGAGACTTGGCTTTGCCAAGGACAAGGAATGGGTAGACAAGTACACTGTCTCTGGCAGTGAGATAGACCTACCCCTTGTGGATTTGTTTGGAGAGATAGAGCCTGTAAAGGCCATTAAAGTGAGTTACTAACCACTTTGAACCCTCTGAACATGCCACTGACAAATCCTTACAGATTTGCCTTCTGTGCAACAAGTCTTGGCTTGCAGGGATGACCCATGCTCCCAAGGCTTGTAACACTCTCCATAAGCTGGAGAAGATGAGGGCCCCTTTGGGATGGCAGCCTATAAAGGTTGAACCTGAAGGTCTGGTAAGGTGGATTGATCTTGTGCCTGAAGTGGAGGTACAGCCTGCCCTGAAAGAGTTGAAGGGAGAAATCCTTACACTCAAGAAGGAAGTGGTTGACCTCAAGGCTCAGATTAATGACCTTGTGAAGGGGAAGGGTAAGGAGAAGGCCAAGGGGAAGGTAGAGAAACCTTACTCCAAGAGGCCTAGAGGGGTAGAGGACAGGGAAGAGGGCCCTTCCAGAAAGAAGGCCAAGGTAGTAAAAGCCAAGGCCATCAAGACTGAAAGTGACTAGTACCTACTCTACCTACAGTTCCTTCTTACCTTCCTGTGTTTGTCTTGGGCTCCAAAATGGACCCCCTAATCTGACCTGATGCTTGGGAAAAAACCCTTGACTGTAAGGACTGGATTGGAGACAGATACAAAGTCTCTGGCTTAAAAAGAATGCTTTAAAGGCACTTTAAAAATGCAGAAAAAGCGCACCAAGCCTAATATGACTTTAAAAAGCATGCCTGAACGTCCTAAGCACCGCTCCAAGCCCCACTTCAAGCAAAAAACTCGAAGGGGACTGCAGGAAGGGCTTGGTTACAAGGGCATTGCAAAAGGGATAAGACTTGTAATAAGGAAAATTGTAATGGACGCTTAGGGCGCCTAATAATGGGCCTAAGAGCGTCACCAAAACCATACAAGACCACACTACAAAGCCTACAATAAATGCCCCTGTGAGAAGTGCTACAAAGACCTCTAAAAATGCGAAAAATGCGTTTTAAAGGGTCCACTAGAGCGAAAAATAATGCGCCCAAGTGACGAAAAGAGGGGCCCTATGGTCCCTACTAAGTATGCCACAACTTGCAGGCAACCCCTTCAAGCCAAGAATTTAAACAAGGACTTCAAAAATCTGAAAAAGCGCAAAAAAGCGCAGAAAGGGAGAATAAAAAACCCCCCTGTGATTTGAAGGGTCCAAAAATCTTGCTAAAGGTGAATCCACATAGATTACACCCTATAACAATTTTCGTTGCATGCCCTACAGCAAAGGATTCTAAGGAGGACTTCAAAAAATGCCAAAAAGCGGAAAAAGCGCAGAAAAGAGGCTTATAAAAATTCTCCTAAGTGATTCTAGCGGTCAGAAGACCTTGCTATAAGACAACAAATGATTATTGAACCATAACTGACCCCCCTGTATGCTCTGTCACCAGGTATTCAGTAAAGGACTTTATACAAATGCTCGAAAAGTGCAAAAGAGCGCACAAAGGGTATATAAAGGCCCCTCCTGATGGGCTTCAGTAAAGGTTACTAAAAGCAATGCAGACAGCCGAGACCTAATCTTCTCCAAAACCGTAGCAAAAAAATTCCCAAGTGTCTGCGCTAAGGCGCTGGTATTTTATTCGGTTTGGTCTTGTGTCACGGTACATCGCGCGATTCCATGCGAAAGCATGTTGGCTGCTTGGACACTTATCTGAGACTTACAACTCGGACGGTAACAGACGCGACTCCACCCAGCTGGACTGGATGACTGCTCTGCGCGACCTCCCTACCGGGGCTCGATTAAGGGTGTTTGTCAATAATGGAAGTGACGGGTGGTTGTGGTGGTGAAGTTGAGTGGAAGCAGGGACGCTGTGTGACGATTAACCTGGTCGTATGCACTCCAGCCCTGTGGAAGCGTTCGGCGGATCCTAGCACTCTATCGAATTATAACAATCATGGCTATTCATAAAACTAACTCAGGTTCTGACGCCGCCTCCGGCTCACAGAGGCGTGGAGCTGGTCTCCACAGTGGCGCTGCAGGAAACCAAGCCCCCACGTTAAATTTGATAAAGAGCACCCAGCGTCGTGCACAGCTCGAGGATAATGATCGCTTCGTCCTATACAACACGGGATGCATGAGCATACCCGCTATCTGGGCAGAATTAAAAGCGATACTGAACCCTGAGATGTACAAGGGAATTATCTCCCTCAAAAAAATCAGCTCAAAGCACTCCGCTTGGCACATTGAAATGATGGTCAAAAAGGAGGTCGGCTCGGGATTAAAAAGGACTATAAGTTCTATGACCCGAGAGCGCACACCAAAGTTTGTTAAAGCCACCAAGGGCGACTTGGACCCGAGCGTCAAATGGCGCTCAAGGGCGGTCAGTCTGTGGCGTATTGACCTTTGGAGGAGCTGGCGAGACCGTAAGGTCAACTCGAATGGGAAAAAACAGACCTCTCCTGCTGTTAACTCGCGTACCGCTCGTATTATGACCCTGAACCTCAATGGGTTCAAGTCAAAGGCGATAGAGCTGGAGCAGCTATTATGTAAGGAAAAGATTAAAGTCTGTGCCATTCAGGAAACTCTGGTCACTGATAGAGCGCATCAGCTTAGGGTGCCCGGTTACACCACCTATGCTCAAAATTGGACTACGGGCTTTAGAGGCCAAGCGGTGCTAGTGCACCAAAGCCTATCCTCATATCTCGTCGAACAAAAAGAAGGGCATTACATCCATGTAAAAATCAGTGGGCTGACAAGAAATTCTGTACCCGTACACGTTATTGCAATCTACCTACCTTCTGGAGGTAACTTTGTGAGAGAGCGCAGAAAGCGGATACGTGAAATACTTGCCATCAACAAGCGTGTACTGACGCACACGCCGGGAGCCCCTATAATAATACTTGGAGATTGGAACATGTCTGCCGCTCAGATAGGACAGGAAATCAATCCTCCTATCACTGGCCTACAAGTGCTCCAAACCCGTGGATCCCCCCTCTCTCGATTCCCTGTCAATGGGGCGCCTAAGTCGCTAGACCATATTGTAGTCAGTGCCTCTGGACGCATACATCTCAGAAGACCAAGGGTGCATCGAGACTACCCCATTAGTGACCATCGTCCGGTCATAGCGGAATTCCGTGCAATTGCACTGGAGGCTCCCTCAAAAATAAACCGGATGAGATTCGACACTGATGCAATAAAGGGGAAAGGACGCTCTATAGTAAATCACAACAAATGGAGCGCCCTGAGCGTCGAAGAGGCCTCCGATGAGGAGGAACTCAACACTAGAACCAACGCTTTCATATCCACCATGGACAAAGTTTGCAAGAAGCTGGAGGTAAAAAGAGCTTTGGGATCCCATAAGCCCCGCTTCCCCAGAAAGCTTGCTTCCATGTACAAGCGCAGGAACACCCTTGCCAAAAAACTGGCCAAAATGGCCACTGAAGGCAAGGTTACTGCGGAAGTACGTGAGAGCTATCTTAAAGCGACCAAGACCTTTGAGATGGCGCATAAAAAATGGGCTACTACAGAGGAACGTAAAGCGGTGAAACACACCCTTACTGACCTTCGAGCGGGCGACCTCAAAAAGGTGTGGACCCGTCTCATGAGCTCCATTGAACATGATCGTAATGCGTCTGCCCTTCCCTTAGTGCGCAATGCCAAAGGAGAGCTTTGTGTTACCCCCGAAGCCATATTGGAAGCTATTGCAGATCACTATGATGCTCTTGCAAATGCTGACCCAGGTCCATCACAAGATGAAGACCACTGGGCCGATGTGGAAGTGGGAGGGGATCGTCAACCAGAACTCCAAGGATTAAATGAACCATTAACCTGGAAACAAGTCTTGCTCTCCATTCGTAACATGGAGCGTAACACGAGCACTGGTGATGATGAAACCCATGTTAATGTTCTAAAAGAAATGTTAAAGGAGGAATGCATGCAAAAAGTCCTCATGGACAGCCCTGGAATGAGAAGACCGGAGCTTATTAACTTTGCTTTGGGAGAGATAGAACTCCCTGAAGTTCCCTATACAAAAATGGGAAAAGCATTCCTCCCCATCCTGAAGTCCATCTGGGCTCAGGGTGTTGTTCCAGAAGAATGGAAAGAGGCTGAAGTCTGCAGCCTATACAAATCTGGAGATCCTGAACTGATGGCCAACTATCGTGGTATCAGCTTGATCTCTGTAGGATTCAAAGTCCTACTGGGCGTCATGGCAAATAGACTCTCTA